ATTGGTGGTTCCCTCGTTTCCAGGCCAATCCACCATCAACCATCAACCTCCAGCCACAGACATTATTGATCAGAAAGCCCGAGCTCTGCACCTGTAGACCTATGAGGGCCAGCGAAATCACATCTCTCACCCAAAGCGAAGACGTCTGGCCCACTTGCCGGTTCAAATCAAGCTGAGGCGTCATAACGAGCGTCCAAGAGGACCAAGAAGACATCCCACCGGAGAATGAAAATGCTCGGTATAGTCCGATGTGCTAAATGCTTGTCGAAGGAGACAGGGAAGTAACGTTACCCCACTGTGTGGACAGTTCGAACCCGAGTAATCAGGCACAATTCAGTATGGAGAATCATATCCCGGGATGGCCAGATGGCCAGTGTGGGGAATTGTAAACAAGACTAAAGACGATCAGCGTCATTTTTGCCTGGAATGGTTTGACGAGTGGATGCGGGGAACCCTTGCAGACGGCAGGTCATATATTTTTCCTCCATTCAACATTCACAACGGGGGAGTTTCGCCGTAAACAGACTGCAGGTACAGGGATATTGATTAAACTTGGGATGTCTTCGCTCTGAATTTCAAATGCCACGGCAGTTGGAAGGCAAGATCGCAGGTTCAGAAGAGAAAGACAGGTGGAAGATCTGCAGTTGCTGTTAGATTGGTGCTTCTGATGAAACCATATCTGGAGAAGTTGACCATTCTGAATTGAATGGATCGTACCAACGCAACCAAGAATCAAGGTCTGCTCTTTGTAGTAGACATCTGACGAGCAGGGATGAAGCCTTCGGACATGGTAGATGCATGCTAAGAGGTCCCCGGAAACTGTCAGATCGTTACTGATGCAGCCTCCTCGTGCATTGATCAATATTAGATAGCCTTCAGGGAATCCTCATGAGAGTGGCTCGTTGCCTGGCTCGATGCATGGTTGATACAGAGAATTGCAAGATGAGAGATTGCCGCACTCACATGACTTCTGCACTGTAGCATCTGAAGCGACATTATTGATTCATTACTTTATTGCTAGATAACTCTATAATCAACTGAAATAACCATGTTCTTTTCAGCCAGATAGCCTCGACGCCTGGGTCAAAAATCCAAAGAAACATATGTACAGGACAAAAAAAGAAGCAACAAAGAGTTTGATAAAAATGACACAGTTCAGCCGACGACGGAAGAATTGAATACACCCGGGAGCCACCGCTATCTGCATGGTCTGTGTCTCTGTGATGACATTTAGATCCCCGGCGTGTTTTTACGCCGCAGCAGACCAGTGAATAGACATAGCTGATGCTAGCAGAGCGGTAGACACAGAATTGAGATCCGCTCGACAACGAGAACACCATGGAATCTAATATTCGGGGTGATTCTTGTCGACTGAGCGACGGGAATGTAGGAACCCGCAAACAACTCTCGATAGGGCTAGTTTGTGAGCATCACGGATTTCGAGAAATTTCCAGTTGTCGAGGTGAGAAATTTTCTTTTTTGAAGCGATAGAAGGAATGAATCGGAGAGCACGTTTAAGCAGCCTTGTCTAAAACCCCAAAAGGATTAGTGCCCTTGACGTCAGGAACATTGGAGACGCTCTCCAATTCCTCCTTGGTTTGAGCTTTGGCACCCTTCTTGGGAGGAACAGTCGAGAAACCTTCCTCGGACTCCTCCTTGGTGCCACGCTTCTTTTGATTGGCACCAGAGCGCGTCCGGATTGGTGACTTGTCAGTGATCTGCGACTGTGCCTTCTTGCCGTTGGCCTTCTGGGCCTGGGCCTTCTGAACGGCCTCATCTTCCGTGCTGATCTCGCCGTTCATTTCGACAGACTTCTGAATTTCACGGCTGACGCCCTTGAGAGCATCCAGACCAGCTTTTTCGGCAGCATGGATGTGAGTGGGATGAAGCTGGCTCGGCTCTTTGCGGTGCAAATATGACCGGACGAAGAAGCGCACAAACAGGTATGTCAGAGGCAGGAGGTACATAACGTTGAGCCAAATTGCGAAAGCCTGACCGGTCGTATCCATACAGGTGATCATGGGGCCGACAGGTGTGCGCTGAGCAACCGAGCTGCTGGGGACATCGGCATACGAGTAGCCAACGTTCTCAGCAATACCCTCTGCGCCAGCAGCACGCAAGCCCAGCTTCTTGAGCCAGGGGCCGAGTCCCACAGCCGAGGCAGTCGCAGCGGCAGCCTCAATAACGGATGTAGCAGAAGCAGCAGCAGCGCTTGCAGTCGAAAGTTTGCCGGGAAGAGTGTAGCTGACGAAGAGATACGAAGCGGCCCAGCTGGTTCCAATGACGAACTGTGTTATCTGCATGGTGGTCAAAGAACGCTTGATAACACCGGGGACTCGAATATGAAGTGCGGTCAGAGTGTAGTAAGTGTACTAGAGAGGTTGGTCAGCCAATGTACGCAATTAAGACAGACTATTGCAGCGATTGCGTACCATCATAGCATGGATACCAGAGTTGACCAGGGTGAAGATAAGGATGGGAGGCGCCATGTAGCGGATACCCGCCCACATGCACATCATAGCACCAGCATGGTGGTAGGTCTGCAAAGTCGAGCTCTTCTTGCCCTTTGCCAGAATGATAGCAGTATCCAACACCTCATAGAACTTGGATAGATAGAAGATCCAGCCCAGGTACGCTAGTCCCTGGTTCCACAGACGGCCAACGTCCGTCGGGTCCGGGACACCACCCGCAGCCAACTGGTATTCGGGGTTCGGCAGTTTCCACTGATCGGTGACGGAGTCGTAGATGGCAGCGTTGCCGTAGCCGCGGGGGCCATTGATCTTGCAAAGAGAGTCAAGCACGCCTACGAGGCCGTGCGGGTCCTCGTGGTGAGGCCACGAGTTGCGGAAAGCCTGGAGCATGCCGACGAACGTCCATGCGGAATAGACGGCCAAGAAGACATTGTGGAGGATGACGAAAAGCTTGAAGAGCCGCGTTTGGCTGAAACCCCAGGGCTTGTACCCACGACTCTTGTTGATGCGGTTGATGATGATAACGGTGACTGCGTAGACGCTGGCAATGGTAATGGGCACGCGAACGTCAAGCAGCTGCTTGTACAACTCAGGAGGGATGTTGAACGGCTGGTTCCATGTCGGTTCAGAGATCAAAGGAGCAGGAAGAGGCTCGGGGAGTTCGCGAGGAGGGAATCTCAAGAGTGCGGAGGGCGGGAAACCGAGGCGCACAACGGCAGGGCCCGACTCGGTGTCGACGTTGATGTCGAGCATGATCGGATACCTTCAGAGGGCGATTTCACAGGTGAAGGAAGAATTGAGAAGAGGGGACTGGACTTTCCAGATAACAAGTCTCTGGCCTTCTTAGAAAGAAGAAGATAAGACCAAGAAATAAGGAAAGGGTGGAAAGAGCAGGACAAAAAAAAAAAAAAGTTTCAACGTCGTCAAAAGTACCTCCGACGTTGCGGATTCCCAAAACAGGAAAGGGTAAGGAAGGAATTCCACCTCCTCCCAAGGTTCGATCAATCAGTAATCGAGTAGAGGTAGATACGCATAGATAAATCCTTAGACGTGTGAACTGTAAACTCAAGAGCAAGTATCAATCAAGTGAGTCTCTACGGATCAAAAAGGTCTAATTGGGTCAATGGGAGAAAATTGAAGTGTCATTACTATCTCCAGAAGTGGAGCCGCGATGCATTTGTTGGGAATTTGGCTGCTCTGGGCGTTGATGAAACCTCGGCCCAACACAATTGATGGCAACGACAACTCTGGTAGACTTATCCAGCAAGCTTGTGAAGAAGATGCTCTTCTACGTCATAAACCTAGCATGAGATTGAGTTATATAGAAGCGCATTGGTCAATCATGATGATGATAGGCTCATTGCTCAGACTTGGGCAGAGGTACCTGTAGATTGTTTCTTGCCACTGCCGTCATTCTCACGCGATGTGCTGAACAATGATGCAAGGCATGAAGATGGTTTCTCGACGAGCATATTCTGGGAAGGATTCTACAGTTTCCTAGGCTTGAAGCAACAGAGTACATCTGCTTAGATGCAACAGCCATACAACCCTCGTACCTCGACCCCCGTTGACCTGTAGGCTGTACCTACACCACCTTTTTGATGATCCCGTCGCAAAAATGATGCGCGATGCCATAGCAAGTAACCAATCAGCGACTGTGGTTCGGCGTTCTGCATTAGTCAGCAGTCGGGCCGCGAATACCCCGGATTTGGCATGACTCGTGATCTCGAGGCCTTAACCCCAACGCCACCAGGGCCCAGGCATCAAGGCAACAACTCTCCCTTGCTCTAGCACGGTAGCACTAGGTAGTATGCCCTAACTCTCAGGGCATCGTTCACATGAAGCATTTCAAGGATTCACCCCAACAAAGGGGAAATGATGGCAATTATACTCTGATCGATATACAATGAACCGAGGCTTGCGAGATCATTGATTCAACGCTTCTACCCCTGAACAATTCTAGACTCACTGCATGACTGCACTAATGCAACCAACACAAAGGTGCAGGCAAGGGACGCCTATCAACCTATTAGACACCATGCCGGTTGGCCGATTCTAGGTACCTACTCGAAAATCTCCAGCTCGCCTTTAAATGCGTCTAAGTACCACTTTTTCCAAGATGGTGAACAGCATAGCATGTATCTGATTTTTGGTAGTGTTCATTTTGATAGCTTTCAGAATTGCCTTTCCCTGAACTACAGTATGGCAAGGCAGAGGCTTGTGATTTCCGCTGGAGACGGTAGAATAGTCTAGCCAGTCGGCCAGAAGACAGTACTAGGCTTCCCTATTCATGTCAATTGGCTGAGCAGTGCTGGGAGCAAATGCAAAGTTTTTCCACTTTCGTCGCAAGCCCTACCACCGCGAATTGCTAATCCGTCCCAAACTTAGCGCTGGAGGAGTTGGTGGGTGTATGTCCCCGAATGTAGATGTACTTGATCTATCGTACATCGGAGCGAACTTGACAGACATATCCAAGATAGATAAACGCAAGAAATACAATCGGATTGACAATCGGTGCCCTAACCTCTGCTAGCGGGGTTTGGTACTCAAAGGGAGCGGCGGAGGCGCAGGTGATGATGGAGAAGGAGCGTTGACAGGAGTTGATCGCATCGCTGCTTTCTTGGGAGGCGGCGGAGGTGGTGGAGCCTTTCGCTGGTTCGATGCGTCTATTTCTACTGAGTCGGATGACGGATGGCTTCGATTAGGGTGCGGGGGTGTAGGAGGAGGCCGGAATTGCTTGAATGAGATGGATGTGGTTGCTGACCTTTTCTCGTCGACAAAATTATTGAAGCGCTGTGTGATCTTATATTTGTCATTGAAGTCCTGGACTCGTTCTTTGCCGGCTTGAAGCTTGTCATTATGCCGCTCGCGCAAGTTATTCACCGTAGATTTTGCGGATGACTCGGGCTGTGTTGTGCTTTCCCGAACCGACGGGGAGGGGGCTTGCGACGGAGATTGCGATGAGCCTGTCCTCATTTGCGAGAAGCGAGCTTGAAGCTCATTAACTGAGGCTTGGCCGGCTACTCCACCGGTGGTGTTGCTTCTATCGTGTCCAATACCAAGTGCAGGAACTGATACTCCAGCATTTGACAGACGAGAGACAGCGCCTTGATCTAGAAGTCCCTCAGAAGCCGGTTCTGATGGCGAATATGCCGGGGGAGGAGTTGGTGGATGCGACTGTGGAGTAGAGTTCATGCGAGGAGGAATCCGAGGCGGAACGCTCGGCACTGGCCTAGAACTTGCAGAGGACACGGAACTTGCCGGTGAATGCATTCTTCGGACTGGAGGTGGTGGAAGATTATCCGTGCTTATACCTGTCGTATTTGCTCGGTAGGGTAGCGGCGGACCAGCTGGTCTTTGGGGTTCGTCTTCCTCAGCTCGGTTCTGCTCCTGCTGCCGGGCTTGCGCTTCCTGGATCTGTTCCTGAGATAGAGGCGCCCCTAGTCCCCTGCGATCCGGTGTTGTCTGATTCGGGACCGCACCAGGTCCATGGACCGCAATGTGTTTCGGTGGTGGCCCGAAAGCGGATGGGTCCTTGAGCGATGACAGGGGTCGGGAGACGTGCTGCTCTTGCTCGCTGTCCCTATCCTTTCCCTTTCCCATCCATCCCGCCTATACCGAAAAACAAGCGTCAGCAAATGCCAAATGTAGAATGTGCGCAAAAGATTGGAGGAAGTACGAACCACTTGATTGATGCCTTTAAAGTCTCCCCGCCAGCTTTCTTTTCCTCCAGACTTACCCTTAGGGTGCCAGCCCTCTTTCAGAGCCCCTCTTAAGCCACTCATCGTGACCTCAAATGTATCCCAATAGATAAAGACAATGGAGTGAACACGAGCACAACCGTGTTATGTTGCTGATCAAACTAGGATCGGTGATCCAGCGACGTCTGGCGTCGACACCGCCCCGCATTCTCAGTTATCTCCAACCTTAATCTCCGCGCATCACGTGACCGTTCCCTGTCCCTCTCGCTCCATGATTTTTCTTGTTTTCTTCGTGATCATGCTCACTTATACGAGGTAGAACTTCATCTCCAAGGCCAGATGGAAAGATGTTGCTTGAGCTGATATTAGAGTTCAAACCCTTGCGTGACGATGACTAGAGTGTCTCTGTCCCACAATTGAAGCATTTGGCCCCCAACGACACGCATTTCTCGTCTTAAAACAGCCTAAGCTAATCCGCCGATCAAAGCAATAGACAACGCGGGTCGATATGTCTTCTTGCTTGCTGATTCTAGCCCACATACTGCGACCGCGCGGTCTGTCTTCACTTGAACAGAAGTACTGCCGCCTCAGTTGAGCGAGGCGCCTGTACAACCCCCTCGGACATCATGGAGCCTTACGATAAACACTGATGCTAGCATCATGCCACGCGTCAGCGTTAATGAGTATCAAGACCTCTGAAAGAGTCAATCAGCGATGGTTTTAGTCCCATTGTGTTACGAATACACAGTGGGCAGCAGCTCGTGTTCAGAGCAGGCGGCTGCCTCACTTTCCGCTGATTGGCTGCTGATCGCCGCCCTTTCATTGTCCAGCTCTATACTTGGAAACCGCTTGAAGCTGCTGCGCCATGTCAGCGCTCCCTTTGGCGACTTTTTTCTTTTCTGTTGTCGTTCTCACAAGGAATGATCTACTGCTTCCCTACTCTACCCCTCTTCGTCAGTTTTGTTATTCCAGATTATCATCTCGAGGTAAGAGTGTGGGAGAGATTCCAAGTGCATGCGTATCTAATTTCTTAACACCCTGTTGAGCTTTCGGAAATAAACAACTTTGGCGGTTGAGCATGTTTTGAATGTGAGGGCTTCCTGCTTTTGGACTGCACTGTGGTACGAGTCTAGCGAGTCTGGAGGAGAATTGCATCATCTCAATAACTGGATTATGCGACGCTGAATCATCCGAGGGAGTGCTTCTCTTATATTCTATCCCGAACCGTGAGACGGGCACAGATTGGTATAACAGAATGAATGGTCGTGAAGGGTCGGATTCTTTGGACAGTCCCAATGAACACAATATACCTTTACCAACTACTGAATGGCAGCGGTCATCGCCATGGTATGGCGAGGCAACCACTATATCTTCGCAGACATCTTTGTTCACACCCGAATTGACAGATGTCATTGTGCCAACAATCGAGACGACATATGACCCAACATCGCTCACATCATCAATCACAACCGTTCTCGAGACAGCGACCACATTAACCTCTTCAATCTCATCATCATCTGGAACTTCTCCCCAAACGGGAGACAGCAGCTCGGGAAGCAGCAACACGAAGACAATTGCTATAGCTGTTCCAGTGTCTATAGTTGGCGCTGCTTTGCTCCTCGGAGCATTATTCCTTCTTTTGAGACGCCGTCGTCGGAAAACTCGACAGGAGAATCCATCGAACCTCCAAGTTGATATGGCTCAGACAACTCGAACAAACCTGCTGCCACACAATGGTTCTTCATGGAATGTCGGACACGCACACTCCCATGAGATCCCCTTCGAAGGCCCCTATCCTTCTCAAGCCGCCTCAACCAATCGCGTTCCGCCGACCCAGCCATACAGTCATGAAATAAATGAGACGTCCAGATCCCAACCATCTACATTGTCCGTTCCTGCTGCTCCAGCTGGAGTCACAGAGTCTAGACAACCAGAAAGTGGATTTGGGCGGCCGGAAACCAGCCCCGTCACAGCTGGATGGCAAGCCGGGAGCGAAGATCGTCCCCGCTCGCCGTTTGATCATCCGTTGGATGATGCCATGTCTGAGGTGTCGGGTCTGAGTGACAGGCGGGGAGCCACGCATAGTCGTGATCTAGATGATATCTCCTCCGTATCTTCCATCAGTGACGACGAGCATGAGACGCGCAGATAATGCGGCGAAGTGTAATGGGTTGGGCCTAGTTTCATTGGACAATTTTAATAAGCAGCGAGCTCTTACTTTGGAGGTTGGCAGGGCATTGCCCTTGTTCTATGTTGAATGATACTATTTGGCGATACTTGTCGGTACCTACAAATTGAGTAAGGAATGAAGTTATGCACGTACCAACAACGTGGACTGAAAAATCATTATAGCATTTTTATGCCTTCACGTGGTATCTAGAATTTTGTCTATCTCCTTTTTTTAAGGCTCGTATGTACACGATCGGATAAAGCGACTATCTTCCACCCCCGAAATCTGGCTTGTAAGCCACTACCTTGCCCTTCATTAACTCTCTCAGCGCCATTGTGGCATACTGGCTCGACCCGAGCTGGAACTTGAGGACCACGGCAATCTTGTCAGCGGAATCAGCATCAGGCCCAGTAGCTGGTTCCTTGCCGTTGAGCTTTTCCAGATCCGTCTGCACGAACTGCTCGTCGTCCTGAGAATACAGTTTCACGTCCACTGAGTAGTCCGCACCCATCCGGCTAAGGACCTTGCGGTACCCCCCGCTAAGACTGATATCCTTCCACTTGCGGCGCATGTCGAAGGGATCGAGACCGCCGCCTTGCTCGCTGCCCATGAAGCGCTTGTAGAAGTTGGTCATCTCGTTGGCGGGGTAGAGCACGTCGAATCCAGGGAGCGGCAGGACGATGTCGAAAATGGAGTACTTGCCGCTGGCGGCTTCCTCGGCGGTTAGGGCGCGGGCACGCTCGAACATGTCTTCGGCCGAGTAGGCGCTGTCGTGCGCTGCTGGCTTGATGACAACCTCGCCGTCGGCGTCGACCTCGGCTTCAAGGCCGGTTGATTCGACTTTCTCGCGGTGCTCGTGGATAAGGACGAGGTCGCCTTCTACTACTTTGTCGCCGTAGAGCCGCCAGCGCTCACCGACAGCGAAGTTCCAGACCAGTGACTGGTAAGCGTGCACGTACATCAGACGTAGGTTTCGGGGAATGGTCTGCAAAGCTCCGAGATAATCGTTCTGCACGCGGCCCAGATGTCGGATCAGGTTGTTCTCCGCAGAGAATTTCCGGGGAAGTTTCTCTACGGCCTCGGTGACTTTGCCGGTGGTCTGGAAGAGGTGAATCGCTTCCGCACGAGCCTTGTCGTCTGTGCTAATCATGGAGGTCGAGTTGCCGTCCTGGGCTGCGGCAAGGATATGAGGACTGTAATGCAGGATTGCGTCACAGGCGCCCTTGAAGTCACCCTGGAGCATCTTCACGCCGACCATATCCGTGCGAGTGGCAAATGTCCCGAAGCGTTGCAGTCCGTAGTAATTGAAGTAGCCCCGCTCACGGAGGTTTCGCAATGCGGATCCCACAAACTCCTTGGCCTTCGCGAGAGCACCTTCGCGATCTTGAAGGTCCACGCCAGGAATAGCGCATTCGCGCAGAGTGATGACGAACTCATTACCCTTCAGATCACCCAGCTCAAGGCCATGGCGGCAATACTCGTAGTCTCCCACCGCCGAGTTGCGAAGAGTAGGGTTGAGCTTTGCGAGCCGATCGGCAAAGACCCGGCTTACACACGCTCGCTGCACGGTCACACCACGTCGGTCCTTAGTACCGGCAAATTGGAAGCTTCTCGGGGCCATTTTCATTGAACGCGCCAGGAAAGATATAACTTCCATGGTATCCTTGTTCTCCTTGTATATCGTAAAATGCAGATAGGAGCCACCCAGCTCCTCGAAGTTGAGCCGGCCTCGTTCGCGCCCTGAACCACGTCCACCTTGGGTGTTGCGCTTGTTCCGGTTGGGAGCGGCCGAGATACACATCATGCCTTCACTGTCCGTCTGTGATTCGAGTTGCGAATTGAAAATGCGACGCACTGCCTGGTGAATCTTGATGCGCAGGTCGCGATCCGTGACAACGACGGTGTTCACTCGACCCAACTCGTTCGGTCTCGCTTTGGGGTTAGACATGGCACGGGTATGTAGGGCTAAAATTCGTTCGGTAGCTTCGGTGCCAAAGAATGACTCCAGTAGCGCTTTGTCTTCCTCTGAGAGCTGGAACTCGGCAGCGGGGGCTTCCTCTTTGGCGGCTGGCGCAACTTTCTCTCCCGCGGCTGCCGACTCTGCGGTAGTATCCGCTGCAGGAGCCTCCGACTTGATATCTGCATTGTTGTTCTTGTTTTCTTCTGCAGACGAAGTGGTAGGTTTCAAATTCCGAAGATGCAAAACTTCACCGGACGGAAGAATCTCATTGACGAGGAAATCGGTGTATCTGAGAGAAAAGCGGGTTAACTTGATTTTCAGTATCTCAAGTTTAAGTTGTACCTCTTTTTCAAAACTCCCGAAAATCCCACGTTGTCTGCACTAACAAATTGGGTGATTCCGACCTCGACTTCCTTCAATGCTTGAGCATCACCATCGGAGATCTTCACCAATTCCGCCTCCGGAGCTGGCACAGTGGAGGGAGGCAGCACAACATCGTCCGAGACGGGGGTATCCTCAGTCCTGAGTCGCTTGCGCGGCGACTCGACAATATCGGCGCCCTCCATTGTTGAGATACAGGTGTCGCTGCACGAAGATACTGGATCTGGAGCTGTAGTAAGTTGGTCGGAGAACTGGTTCAATCTCCGCAATTGCCTTTACCGAAAGCGGCAATGACCAGGGCTAGCCCTACATCCTATTTGGGACTTTCTGATACCAACTCATTACTACGGAGAACGAAGTGTCTACTCTAGCTCAAGCCATTATTCCTTATCTGAAAAGGACTCAAGGAGAAGCGACTGATACTTCTATTTGCGTTTGAGGGCTGGCGTCGTGCCTCAAGTGACGCAGGAAATCTGCTATACTGATCTCTGCAGCCTAGTGCTACGGATTCCTATTCTCAATATTTAAAGCCCTCGGAAGCAATCTCATTTTCTTCGGCTACACTGATCCTGTCTGGTCCAATCTTGAAGGCTCTGCGCAAATCTCACTTTAGATGCCTCTCATTGAGACTCAGTAGTATTCGCGGGGTTCAGCGTTCGGATTCTGGCATCTCGCTCTCTAGGCCTTGCAGGTCGCCGACGGTGTTGCAGAAACCCCTGCAATGAGGAAGGCAACATACAGTATATTCTTCATTTTGAGCAAAGTGGGATGAGACAGATGAGTGGTAGCTTATCTCCTCCTTTGGTTTGAGTTTAGCCCAGACTTGAGAAGGAAATAGAGTAGCTGAGAGAGGATCAAGGACGTCTTACTATCTCCAGCTCCTAGAGCAACAACCCCCTTCTAGGTCTTTCAGATTTGGTTATGAAGTTCAACCCATGTCTTCTGTGCATTAAACCCACAGAAACAGTTGCCGAGATACATAATAGTCGGCCTGCTGCCTTGCGAAGGACCCAAATCCTGTCGCTTTCCTACCGCTTAGGTCGGTTCTTCGTTACAGTCGAGTCAAAATCAGCATGGCTGTTTCCAGACTGGACAATGGAATCAACATCAGGTCCCGAGAGGGTGGGGTGGGCGATGGGGATGAGGCTTGTGTTTGCATATGAAACCTCCTGCTACACAAAAAGCAATGGAAGATCCGTGCGGATGTTGACCAAATCACACTGAAGTGGCTCTAGTCGCCGAGTGGAAAGATAGGAAGGTCAATTCTTATGTGACATCGTTTAATTGGATTCGGAGGAGCCTACCTTACGCTTACAGTTACCCAATATTCGTGTAAGTTAGCCAAACAAGTATTCCCACAAACCCTTCTTCCACGTCCTCCCTTGTCGGTGATCTACGCATGCACGCCTGCTGTCAAAGTCTTCGGCACTGTCAGGTCACGCCGGATCGGCTAAAGAACAAAGGAAGCATGGAGAAAAAGAGCTGAGCTTCAGGGTATTCCCATGTTGACCCGGCGGGTTCCAGAAACTAGTTAAGATAACTTGTGGGTATCAGACCAAACAAACATAATCTCTACCTTAGATGTTGTCTAATAATAAGTAAGGGTAATCTATAGATCATTCACTAATTATATCATTCCCTACAGCAACAGTCAAAATGCTAGCAAAATGAAGATTGTTAGATCTGTCTATGTGAACGCTAGGCATCATGTAGCATTGCTAGGTAGATAGACACATAAGGTAGTAAGTTCTCCATATCAAAGGACTTAAGTAGAGAACTAATCCTATTCGAGTGGGCAATTAGGGCAAGAACATAGGGCAGATGTTGTCCTCCTCAGGCCAAGTCAAAGAAACACAATCAACAAAGACCAACATGCTACAGATAAACCAAGGACAAAGGCCCTCTGAGGCTCAAAAGATCATCCTTGTAGAAATTTGGGTCTCACAATTCGACCCAGATTTGAAACACCACAAGTCTTCAGAGACCAGATCAACGAAACAAAGCAATGTTTGATAACTGTTGGGACGAACCCACTGAAAGCACAATGGGCTTTCATCACTATCATGACCCATGGAGCCCCATGAAAAGACATCTAGATGTTGTTTTTCTATCATATGCCTTACGACAAGGGCTTTTCTACAATATAAAGACACTCGGAAAGTGATCCTTTGTCGAGAATGAGACTTTTGCTAGTGGACAAGGAACTTCAGATCAACAATTCCATGGAATCGGCTCCTTGTCTGTCGCAACGGCATCCTATGGCGAGCTAATGAAGTGTTGTCTTTCCGGCATGATTCGCATGTTTGCATGACAATGGTTCTTTTAGGACGAGAGACATGTTGGGTAGGATCGCTTTGTTGACGATGAGACTCTGGTGGCCTAAGAAGGAAATCCAACACAGAAACATCATGGAATTGAACCACCTTACACTCTGCTCAAGGTCGATTGCTGATAACTTCAGCTATAAAGTCGCTCTCCTTTCTCACCAGTCGAATGATCATTCAACCATCGAACTACTCTGTTCTCTCCATCTTCCCACCCTTCTCTCCAATCCAAAAACTTTGAAAGCAACTCACCGACTGTGCGCAAATTCCCCGAAATCAACCCTTTAAGACGTTGAGTACCATATCCAAACCCAAATTTACAGAATCTAACAGCAATGGGTATTCCACAGTGGACCGAGCAGGACGAGCGCCAGGCGCGCATGGAAGATGCCGGTCTTTATATCGACTGGCCGAACCCGTACAACATCGAACCGGGACTTTACATTATCGTTCACATGGAGTATACCACCCAGGCCGATGAAATCATAGACGTCATTGACGATGCATATAGCACCGTCACAGCCCGTCTCGAATCGCGGCAGTTCCGCAACCCGAGGCACCCCATTCCAGGGCGTAAGAGCCTTTTCCTCCACTATGAACTGATCAACCAGGATGACGGGACCACAAACGCCTTCCCCACGGAGGAAGGCCTCTTCGAAGAGGTTCAGAGTCACCTCATGCTCATGTTTGATAAGCTTGAGATGGGGGGAACGTTCGACCTCCCCTACAAACTTGGTCCGGTGCGTGTGTTCTGGTGTGACATGGTCGAGCCGGAACCTGAGCTCCCCACTGTTACTGTTGTAGTGTACGAGGAGACAGACTCTGACAGCCAGGAGGAAGAGAAACTCAAAGCTGAGCTGCCTGAAACTGCTCAACAGTGACCCCTTCTTGGCTTTGTCTCTTTAGTTCAGAGTTCAATTGGTGGACTGGGCTGACTGAGAGAAAAACAGGTTGTATCAGAGCGACACAACGAACCACAAGTTGTCATATACTGGTTGGAGTTAGGATTGCTTGGGATTATTGTTGCGGAAAAGGTATGTCTCTTTTGCTTGGTCTGCAATTTTGGAGTGTGTGCGGCGCTGGTCGAATTCATTTTTTTTCATTGAAGTATTACCAATGGATATCTTCATTCTTGTTCAATGTACCTTATGGCAAGGAGATGTAATTCAGTAAGATTATTGTAGTAGGCCCACAGAACAGAGCATGACAAGCTCGAATAGCCTAATTCATCTACAATTGATAACCATTGCTGGAAGAACTGAATAACAAACACTATTATTAAATACATTGACTGTGAAGATGGTGAATCATCACCCGCCTGTCTATGTGTATTCTAGATCGTACTCTATGCATGTTAGGATACATAAGATAGATTCATTTCTCATATCATCATCATGAGGGCCATTGCTGATAATCAAGTGTCACCAGTCGAGAAAGCCCTCTACCCAAGGTTTCATGTCGTGTGGTCGTTGCGACATGCAAGAAGTCCTCGCGCTCGAGAGGCCGTCAGTCAATACAGATCACGTCGTCAGCAGGGTGTGTCATTTTTTGACCATCAGCACGACTGCGCAGGGCCAAAAGATCTGTAGACTGAGTGTTCCCACCCTCCCAGGCAGTTTTGATTGCTTGCACCATATCCCAAACCGCTTCTCTGGCTTCACGCCGTTCTTTTCCCGCATCGAGAAGGGAGTCGTAAGGCGTATGAGTGTGCCTGATATGTGCTTCGACAGCCAGATTGGCCTTTTGTTCGTCTGTTTTCATTGTAGTCCTCCCTACTCGTCCAGAGCGCTTCAGGAAAGCGTGATCAACAATAGTCTCCAGGGACTCAGCTGGCATGAGTGGAAACTTGTTGCGCAAAATTTGCCGAGCTCGCGACAGGTCCTTTTCGTCTCGTGTTTTGACAGCATGAGCACGCGAATCGGCAGTCGCGGCGGCAGATTTGAGAACAGCAGCGTACACATCTTTCGGTACGCGGAGACCAATATTTCGTTTTCCCGCTTTGTTCTGCGATGCGTTAGATGATGGAAGCAGAAGGCGCGGACAATCCTTACATAGACAACATAGACAACCCGATGAGACTCTTTGGTCTGAGTTCGACAGTGTCGCGTAATATAAACATCGCCCTTTGGCACGAAGACATAGTTCTCCGGCAAGGGTTCCCTATCGAAGCAATTCTGTTGGGACGCAGTGTCAGTATTGAACTAGAGCTGCAAGCTAAGCTAGGATCCTGCCGTCGGACCTGTAGCGCAACAGTGATAGGATATGCATAAAACCACAATCATACCTCTTCAAGAGGCTCCGTCGAAGGAGGGAGCATTACATATTTTGAATATTTTAACGGTTGTGGGCTACCCCGAGTTTTTGTGTTGCTCGTAGTACCAAAAAGTCCGCCCTGATTGCGGGCTTTCAAAGAGGTCTTCCTTCGGGCTTCGGCTAAAATAGATTGAGGTGATCTGGGGGAAGCGAATCCATTCTTGATACGAGTCTTTCGACGCCGAGCATGTTTCCGGGGCCCTTTTCTTCGGCCTGATGGAAGCGCCATTTCGGGTTCACTGGCAATGTGAAAAATTAAGAGAGATTGGAAAAGGGAAAAGGGATTAAGATGAAATATGTAGATCTCAAGAGGTTGGCAAAAAAGCGCAGTATCTGGCTCATGGCACGATTCATTCATCGACTGGCTTTCTCATGCATTTAAAGCGAGCGGTGGCTTGTCAACAAAGAAAAGACAACAGGAAGGCATTGAGCCCATACTTGGAATAAAGTAAACTGACGGCTGTTCTATCAGTCAGGGTACCTTGAGGATGCTCATGACCATCGATAAAAAGGTGTTCGAAGCACCAATGACAAATGGGACTTAGGGAAGAATGGGAATCCAGTATGATAAGTATTCGCGGGGTGCAAAGTGTGGCTGGAGATGTGGCGGTGCAAAGATATTCTGCCTCACTTTTCAGGCAACTACTTCAAGGAGGCCGCGCAACCCACTACCTCCTCATCATACACGCTGGATCCTGACTCGATAATGAGTGGTGCCGCGATGAGATCGTACTTCTGCCTTCCAAGGTTCCATTCTAGTCTCCAGTCTCCGTGTACATTTCGGCGATGCTGAATCCGATCCTTGAGACTCAGGGCCACATGCAGGATACCGCAGTGTCCTTAGATTCTTTACCTAGGAATTCATTCGCTATATACATTCCCAACAGCAATAGTTTGATTTTCTCCGCGGTGATTGTGAATCGCAACATGAATCGTACCTAAAGTATTGCCGAGATAAGTCTAGACTACTGCCTTAGGCGCCTCGAACACGATCTCGGTTGTTGATTCAGGTTGAAACTGGGAAGGACAGGTTAGCTGCCTGCCTTTGGGGGACAACCTCGGAGATTTCTTCATTATGCTATGGAGTACAAAGATTATGCAAATCGAAACATATCTGCTTCATAAAGATCTCTTGACTACCTCTACTCCGTAGTCTTGCGAAAGATCGAGAATTTACTAATTATCCCCGTTCTACTCCGTACATACGCTACTTAACTGTTATTGTAGGAATACATCATCTGGCCAGGGGCCATGTCGTCATTATACCCATTTTCATTTCAATTGCCAATGCCAACATTCCATGTCCACTTTTCAGGCCTTGTGGGCAAGATCAAGGCTGGAGCTGAAAAGAACGTCCCGTCCGAAGCTAGCCACGATAGCCTCACCCGCCTGGCCATTGAAATGTCACTAATAAGCGGCCCAGCTCATAAGTGAGTCTTACCCCGGCGAGCGGCTAATCGCAACTGGGTTATGGAGTACAGGGCTCGATCTCGACTTTCCGAATTTGGTCCGGATCAGCAGGATGGTAAGGGGGGAAGCCTGGGAGGGGCAACGCATATACAGCAGCCCTAAGTCAACGGCTCCGGGTTGAAATCACCTACCATTATCTGAATTAGTAATGATTGCGAATCTCTGATGGAAATAGACCCTCATGCCGACGTGACGACGGTCCAATGGATTCAGCCAAAAGGGGAACTGCCCCTGCAGGTGAAAAGGACAACTGGAGATCGTGATGGAGATGAAGGTGGGGCACAGTAGAGACCCACTCTTGTCAAAGGTTCCTTGTTCCTTGCCCTTGGTTGCATTCGCGTGGCTCGGAGGAGGATGGGAGATTCAGAGAAGTGCTCAGTATCAACTGCTAAGAGCTCAGAGAATCTGTCATCTTTTGGTGATGATTCTCCTCAGCTCGCCAGATCCATCTACATCTGAGCGTTGGTCAATCACAGTTGACAATCGTTCTCCAATTGGTTGGAAGTTTCTATCGCTGACGGAGTACTCCGCAAGGCACAATACGATAGCGTTCCAGATCAGGGATAGCGTTCCCTTGTTGCCTCGCACAGCTGACGGAAATTGTCCTTGAATCTTCATCCGACAACCACGCTTAACTGTTCAGAGTGCCTTACCCATCACCTCGATCGTGCCAGCTCTTTCACCAAGTCAGTAAGTTATTCTATATGCCATATGAGAATCGAAACAATCTTCTTCTTCTCATTTCGGTCATGATAAGAACATGCCATGATAAGAGATCGATGATCTCATATCACGTGAGTTACAACCTTAATTTGAGAGCTTGCAAGACACTAGTCCGAAAAGGGTTATATTGGCTAGGAGGTTTGGCGTTTTTGAGACAGCTCTCAAGTTATTGCTTTTGACCTTACTTGCAACGCAGATCGGTCGGTTCAGTATCTCTGGGTACATCTGACCGTCTGCAGAGTTTGTATCCGAAGGGTTGGTGACTCGAATATACCATGGGACGGGTCGACAGGCGGCCAAACATCCTGCTTCATTCCGTGTTGCAACCAAGCATGCGAGCTAATTGCAGACAAGCAAGACGTTCTCTCGGGATGTAGACTGTTTGTACCATAAATATATCTCGCGGCTTTCAACTGTGAGTCTGCCGGTTCGTCATAAAGGTGAGCACTGCAGGAGGTTCCTCATGTACAAACGAACACCAGTTCGAAGGCAGATTCATAGCCATGACATGCAGGTCTGGCTGTACTTGGGCTTCCTGCTACCGAATGGATATCTTCCTCCCCAAGAACCAGAAGGTTTGTATACTGCTAGTTCGGATTTCGTGTAAGTCCATATATCGGAAAGCCTGATAATCTTGAGAAACACCAATATGCATGATTAGCGACGATGGAATAAGTCATATTGGTGGGCTGGGAGATGACCTGCCCTTCTTCATTCATGTCCTCCCGCACGTTAGAGTTGTGATGACGATGTCTGGAATCGGTACTTAGTTTCTGTAGCTACAAGGCTGCCTTGGTGCCTTGGGCATGTGCGACTCGGTCGGCAATCGCTCGCATGGACTGTTGAGGTCTCAACCTGGCTCAGCAAACAGCTTTGACAACGATGAGTTGAGTCTTGACCAGGTTCACCATCTTGAATACACGTGAACACTAGAGGCTATTAATGGGCTGACAGATCAAGGACTTGCCAACTTGTAGCGCAATCATCCATATAGATACAATCCATATCCGAGATTATCTCACCAAAACTATATTCTCCACTAAGTAGAACAAGACACCGTCCACCAAGTGGAGGAGAATCGGACTGGATCTTCCGTTTGGCTTGATTAATTTATCGTTCATTATTTTCACCCAGTCTGATCCAGAGAAGGATATTTCTGTTAAGTGATCACAAAAAAAGAAGTGCGTAGCGGTGGATCTACGGAAGTAAGAAGGAAAAAAGAAAAAAATTCCAGTGTCACTAACTTATTACAAACAGAGGAAAAGAAAAACACACGATTTCCTCCCCTCTTGGATTTCTTTCATATTCATTCTCGAAGCTTTTCCTCTCCTCTCTCTCCCTCCAATCTCCTCTTTTACCTCTTTTTCTCTACAACCTCCTCGACCAAGGTCAAAGGGTCAAGACACAGATAAAGGGCAAGCAGCACTAAAGGCATACCTCCGCTTCTCCCTTTGTTCCAGGGCAGCTCCAACCTTCCCTCGAGCCTCTGGGTCCCTTCGACTGCCCTCCCTTGTCCTATCGTAACTCCGATCTCTTTTTCCTTTCCACTCTTCTCCCTTGCTAGTAAATCCGCTGTCTACTTTACTCACTGAGAATACAAGATATGTGCTACTAGATCGTTTTGTGCATCTTGTCCTAATTTCTCCTTCTTGCTTCGTTCAAGAGGGGCTCACATTCTTTCTACGTCCGTCGTCCGGCCCGGTTGCCTGCTTGGCTTCAATGACACTGAAGTGCACATTACTCGTCCGCTCATTATCGATTCCCACCGAACCCCTCTCTTTTCGGACATTCCTCAGCGCCCGAAATATCTGGACGACCTCTGATTAGGTTGCCTGGCAGCTCGAATTGAATGGTTGCTGGGATTACTGGGTTGCTGACATGAGTTGGGATCAGCCTGTCCACAGGTATGGCTCTCGAAGTCTTCTATGCACATACCATTATTTCCTCACAGACTGTGAATTCTCTCCTGGCACTGGCGGGGTGGATTTGGATTGTGTGTGTGCCACTCGTCAATTGCTGCCTTACTAGGAGCTTACCTTTTCCCCCATTCTTCCCTCCTTGGTACATACAATAAGAACTCGCTTGGCGATACCGCCTAACTCTCCATGCTATGGACTCCGTCCCAGAGTGGTTCAGTGAGAAGATGATACTGACAGAGCCTTCGATCATGTTTAGCTTCAGCTATCCAAACGGTGAACCTCAGACCCCGACGAGGACCCCTACAACTACAGTGTTCGGCGATTCCGCTTTTCAGACCCCCAAGCTCGAATCTAGTTTTTTCGACCCCCGAGTTACCTGGGACACATCAGATCCTTATGCCTCAAGTCCGGAGTTCCTTCGAACACCCCAGCGGTTCGGCTTGAGCACCCCTTCGAACCCTCTACGACTGCCAGATACGGTCCCCGGTCGAACTGGAGGGGTGGACGCTTTGCAGGGCTTGGAACAGGAGACTGACACGGCTAAAAGAATACGTCCTATAAAGCCTAATGGCGGCTCAGGCGAGGACGGTCCTCGGACCGTAGACTCTGCAAAGTCCGCTGCTTCAATGCAAACTCCACCCCCAAGCAGTGCATCGAGGAGGAAAATAACCGGGTTGGACAATGTCATCGACACTGACAGAAAGCCGTCTCCCCTTGGTGGTCATCTTGAGACCCCAAGCCGCTTGCTAGGTGCTTCGCCCAGGTTCTTTGCGGGTCTCCAGTCCTCCCCAGATCCTTTCGACCTGGCTGCGATTGATCCATCCGCCTCCCCTTTCTTTCCTCAGCAGAGATTGTTTTGGGACAATGATCTCGAGCAGCAGGGAGGAAGCCTAAGTTTGTCTGGAAACAGCATCAACTTCTTCGGCTCGAGTGCTCCAACTTCTGCCAATCAGAACCATAATCAAACTTTGCAGGACGCTCGAATCCCGCAACTACCAGCAATCGATGCCAACCTTGACCTTCCCGAAGTTCACGGTCCCACATATAGTCTCTCTGCTGCTCCTTCCGATGCCGCCCTGTTCCCCGCTCCTTTCTCCACTTCCCCCCGTCTTCCCATAGCCAAGGCAGAAGATCCGGCTTTGTTTCTCTCTTCACCAGCCCGCCGTTTCGGTGGCCCTCAGCTGAGTCCAGATAAGAGACTCTTTTCTAAGCCACTCAGACAACCATATCACCACCAGACTGAGGAATTCAAGCGAGAAGAGCTTCGCCGTGCGCAAAGCATTAACCGTCCTCTCTCGGGCTTCGACGAGGAGGAGGAGGACGACGATGACTTTACTCCTCGTCGACCCCGGCCGGGGCTTACTCGCAGCGTGACTCATACTGCTATAATTGCTCCCCCTCAGCGTTCCGCATCGGTACAGTCTACGTCTGGAATGATGGCTTCCTCCAGTGGCATTCGCAAAAGCCCATCCAAGGGACGGTCCTCCCCCATCAAACCCCTCCGCCAACAGCTCTCGAGAGCGAATTCGGTTGCAGCTGGTTTTCCTACTCGCTCTCAGTCGGTGATTTTGAAAATAGGCAAGGATGGTAGAGCAAAGGCCGAGATGCAAACTGTTGCTGAGGCATCCACTGGCCTGACGGACCCTGTGAGTGGAATGGAGCTCGACGGATTCGCAGCTGAGAGTGAATACGATTCTGCCGATCTTTCCGAGTACCCAATTATTCCTAGCCGCAACTCGTCCTTCGCATTTTCGGACGTCGGCGGACCTACTGTGGCCCGCAGTGACTCCGGTTCCCGGCCCCATTCGAAAGGCTCCTATACATCCACTGCTGCGTCATCACAATCAGGCCGAGCGTCGCCCTGGGCTAGTTCGTCTCGTGGCCCTGCAAGAGGACCCACGTACCGAGCAGCTGCGGATGAGTGGAATAGGACGACTCCCAAGCGACAGTCGATACTGATAAACTCGGATCTGACATACCCTAGCGTTGGATCCCCCTCGGGATTCCTTCCTGAGACCGAAGATGATTCTGGCGATGCGCAGCACGCACTTCGAAAAGTTCTTGCGGGGAGAGGACGACTGCCACGGTCCCAGACAATCGGCTATGGGCCACGGTCCAATCGGTCCTCACTCTCCTTTGCGCATCTACGCTCGTCTCCCCCACGCTTCGGTGCGGATCTTGATCTAAATTCTCGGCCACCTAACACTTCTCCGACCACCATGACAGACCCTGACCTCGCTACTCCGACCACTGAACGCTACAGCAACCCAAGCAATGGCACCAGATGTGTTTGTCAGTCCATGGACAATGGTGGCCATCTCATGATCCAATGGTAAGCGAACATCAGCTTCTTCCTTTTGTATTCTTTGCTTATTCATTACAGCGAATCATGCAACCATTGGCTCCATACCAAGTGTGTCGGACTTGAGCGGTCGAATCTGCCATCTGTGTATGTGTGCGTATTTTGCGCCCAGACCCCGACTAGGAAGAACCGGGTTCGAGGTCCAGTCAATACCACCGGACATGCACCAACTTCACCTCTAGCTCATAAATCCTTTCGATTTCGGTAATTCCTGCGGGTTCCACTTTTACAACTCGATTGGAAATTTTTCTCTACATCATGTAATAATCATGAGTACGAAGTCACTGGTCATGACTAACGTCAACGGTGCCCTCTGTTCTTTGAAAGGCTCCTCCATTTTCACTGTTTCGACCTTTCGGACCGCTTCTAATGTCTCTTCTATCCGTCGCTTCATCAGAACCATTAGACATACCCCATCTTCCCTAAAGGACATCAATTTTTCACAAGTCCTACATACCCAGTCTGTACTGGCATGATGTCAATACATCGCTGTCGTGATTACTGTCATAAGTTATTTCCTATTTGCTTCATTATGTGTCGGGGCCTATCTGCCTCGCTGAGTGATACCTATGTACTATTGTATCTAGCATTTCTGTTCAATCACGTTCATGACTCTCCATGCTTCTGGACTTGTAGTATGCCATATTTGTACAGTACATTGTTTGGGATCACAAAATTCCCCTGCATTTGTCCGAAAGGCGGTGAGACAAGTAAGGAACCACATCAATTGGCGCAGCATGATTGGCTAAATTCCCCCGCTTATCGGCTCACCGCCCTTGATAGCGTTTGTGGTTCCCCGAACAATTATTTTCGCTTTCCGTCGGTGACTCCTCCTCAGCGCCTTCTGCTCAGCATCTGTCCTGTTTCATTCTTTCGTTTTTAGTCTGTCGTTCTTTGTATAGACCGTCTTTCTGTGATTTGCACCCATGTCTGCATCACTCCCCGGCAACCGGGACCTTCCCGCGTCGCAGTATGATCTGAACACTTACTGGGGTCGTGTGCGCCATGCGGCAGACATCTCCGATCCAAGGTGAGCGGGATTTCCACCATGCTCACTGTCAGACAGCCTATCTCGACCACAATCCCCACAATCTTTTGGAATTTTCATGCAATCTGCTGTAGCACGAGCTGACCTATATCCTAGAATGTTGTTCGTATCCCCGTCGGGTCTAGAACAAGCGAAGCGCCTTATCTCGTCTTATAAGCAGAATCATGTCCCTGTTATGACTCCTGAGTTATGGCGGGCGAAGAAGGTGGTGGACTCTACGTTGCATCCAGGTGCGTTTGCGGTATTTGGACTCCTTAATATAATCAAGGGTGTGTCTAACTTTGGCTTGTCTAGACACTGGCGAACCGGTTTTCCTTCCCTTTCGCATGTCGGCTTATGTTCTTTCGAATCTGGTGGTGACGGCGGGTATGCTTACGCCAGGTTTGCAGGTATAAGCCATCGGTCTTTTGAATCTTGAGGAGACAACATACTGACTGTATAGACTACCGGAACGCTTCTGTGGCAGATTGCCAACCAGTCGCTCAATGTCGCCATTAACAATGCGAACGCGAACAAGTCGACTCCCCTGTCGGTATCTCAGATGGCCAAGTCATACTTGATGGCGGTATCGGCGTCATGCTCGGTGGCCCTGGGTCTCAACGCGCTGGTCCCTCGGCTGAAGAACATTTCTCCCAACACGAAACTTATTCTCGGCCGTTTGGTGCCCTTTGCTGCGGTTTCCAGCGCCAGTGCACTCAACGTGTTCCTGATGCGTGGCGAGGAGATCCGACAGGGCATCGACGTCTACCCTGTTCTCTCAGAGGAGGAGAAGAAGAAGCGCGAGGAGACCGGTGAGCCGGTCCAGAGTCTGGGTAAGAGCAAGAAGGCCGCCACCATCGCGGTCGGTGAGACGGCCATCAGTCGGGTGCTGAACGCCACGCCTATCATGGTGGTACCGCCTCTGATTCTTGTGAGGCTGGAGAAGACAGCCTGGCTCCAGGCTCGTCCGCGCATGGTTACCCCGATCAATCTGGGCTTGATCCTGGCCACGTCGCTGTTTGCTCTTCCGCTGGCCCTAGGAGCATTCCCTCAGCGGCAGGCAATCAGCGCCCAGTCTCTGGAAGAGGAGTTCTGGGGCCGAGGAGGTAAGGACGGGCAAGTTGAGTTCAACCGGGGCATGTAGATTGGTGGATTGGGACTCATCGTATTTTGACGCTCTCAGCATTGCGTTATTTCTTCATTTCCTTTTGGCAGAGGCGAGAATCCGAATATAGAAGCCCTCGTCCAATGGCATGCACATGAATTGTTAATATCATGTTGTTTAGCGGATAGACTATATAGCATATATACCACGGCTTATACCGCTGATAACCAGCCTTATTACATCGTAATCATAATCTCTGCTGGATGACTCTGTGACCCTTGAGCTCTTTACCTATAATGTTGCTGTTGCTGTAAAGTAATCAACCGCATCCGCTCACTACTGTCTCACCTGCACGCCTTGATGACTATTGACCACTAACTACCCGATGACTCACTATCAACTCTACCCACAACCAGATATATAACATTTCCTATAACCCAACCCGCCTAATCCAGCCTCTCGCAATAACTTAACCCCAATCCAAGAAAAATGGAAGAATCATTCCCTCCACCCTTCCGCACCGCCCGCCTAGAATTCCACCCGATGGTTGACGCCGACGCGGCGGGCATCCACGCCATCCGCGGGTTGAAGGAGGTCATGAAATGGAGGTACCTAGACCAAGCCAGTCCCTAACCCATCCGATTCGAAGAAAGACGGCAGTGCTGAGGCAAGGTAGTCTGAAAAAGGTCCCTGATGCGGATCTCGCGACGACGCAGGAATGGGTGGAGGAGTACCTGAGGCCGCAGGCGCCGAGGAATGTGGGGTATGTGCTTCGTGAGATCGGGTCTGCGAATGGTGCGGTTGGGGATGGGAAAGGTGAGTTTTCTCGGCTTGTTGAGGGGGTGTGGGCGCGGAAACTGAGAGATAGGCAGGCCGGATTGTCGCTTCTATTGGCTTGCGCTATGGGCAGGTTGAGGTACTGGGCGGGTATCGCTGGGAGCTGGGGTATATCTTTCACCCGGACTTCTGGGGGAAGGGGTATGCGACTGAGGCTGTGAGGGGGTTGATGGGTGCGTGGCCGGGGATCTATCAGAGGATTGATTGGGGG